CATTTAATGTTTTTGTTTCCTCTTCAGGTGTTGTGCTTGCCTTTTCCTCTTCAACCATAAACATATTATTATATGTGATATTATGTGATAATGGCAGTGTTGTGTAAAGTAACATACTCACTACACTTAAAGCACAGCCTCATTTTACATTTACACAAATAATATGTATATATTGTTTATAATCAGGACTCATGAGCACAGGCAAATTTACACTATCTCTATTTCAGCCTGGAGGAATGCAGGATGATGTCATCAGCAAAGCGACCTCTATGGCTTAACTGGGAAAACCCAGATATGATGTCAGAGCTGCTCTTTCAGAACAACGAAATCATCTTCAAAAATGGAGATGGTGAGATTTTCCTCCCATTGGATGTCTCTTGCCGCCTCTATCTCTGTTTGTCCATCCTTTCCGTTGTGTATCACTGTGTAAACACACACACACACACACACACACACACACACACACACACACACACACACACACACACACAGACTTGAAAATGCTCTTGCTGCGTGCAGCATAATTCAGTTTAAGCCTGTAGGGCATATCATAACACACAAACATAACCTCATTCGTGCTCTTTACAAGGAACAAGGCATGTTATTTGAATTGCACTTTATCGCAGCTGCTTGTGCATTTTGCTGCACCATCTATGACCAAACTGACTTTGACAGCTCTGCTCCATAATGCATCACGGAGTTGATCAAAGAGCAGCTAAGTAGCTAATAATCGCCTTACTGTCATCCCCCTCATTGTCGCTCTCTGCCTACGCAGATCTGAGGCAAGACATGCTGACGCTGCAGATCATTAGGATAATGGAGAACATCTGGCAGAACCAAGGCCTTGATCTCAGGTAGGCTCCTCACATCATCATGACAGCAAGGATGCAGGTGCACGTTAACAGGCGCTGCATAGTTTTATGTTCTGCACTCCATATAGTGAGTATAGAAGTATATCTTCTTCTTCATACCTGATTAGTGGTAACCCCTGCCAGCTACCTCCAGTCATTTTATACGAAGTCCGTCACTACTGTCCTAATTATTTCTGCCTCTTTTAATGTTTCTTGTCCTTCCTCTCCCAGGATGCTGCCGTATGGTTGTCTGTCAATTGGTGACTGTGTGGGTTTGATTGAGGTGGTGAGGAACTCGCACACAATCATGCAGATCCAGTGTAAAGGAGGCCTAAAGGGGGCACTGCAGTTCAACAGCCACACACTGCATCAGTGGCTCAAGGATAAGAACAAGGGGGAGATGTGAGTGGCAAAAACAGGGATTTATGCAGCTTTTCTCTTCTTCTATAGGCTGTAGAAGTGGTGTTAGTCATAATATAAAGCCTTAATGTATCTTTTTCTTCCTTTTTATGAGAATAGTTGCATACAGTTATTGAATCCTACATTTCCATCTCTTTGCTTTTTTTTTTAGGTATGACCAGGCCATAGATCTGTTCACGCGGTCATGCGCAGGATACTGTGTTGCCACATTTATCCTGGGCATAGGGGACAGACACAACAGCAACATTATGGTCAAAGATGATGGACAGGTAAAGGTTCCATTTTAACATCCTTTCTATGTTATATATGCATACTCTCATTCTTTCTAAATAATTATTTCATTTCTTACTTTTCTTATGTTTTCACAGCTGTTCCACATAGACTTTGGCCATTTCCTCGACCACAAAAAGAAGAAGTTTGGGTACAAGAGAGAACGCGTACCCTTTGTGCTCACACAGGACTTTTTGATCGTTATTAGCAAAGGAACTCAGGAGTGCACCAAAACAAGGGAGTTTGAAAGGTAACACCAGCAGAGCTTGACTTGAGTTTGTTGTCTTGGGAGAAAAGAAAATGATCAGTTACTTATAAAACCTAATCAAAATGGACGATTGAACTATTCTATGTGGCAGATTTAGAAAATATCCTGCACTTGTCTTTGTCTCATCTTCCATGCTTGTATCTCTTTTTGTAAAGGTTCCAGGAGATGTGTTACAAGGCATACCTGGCAATCCGGCAGCATGCCAACCTCTTCATCAACCTCTTCTCCATGATGCTGGGCTCGGGGATGCCCGAGCTGCAGTCATTTGATGACATCGCTTACATCAGAAAGACCCTGGCCTTGGACAAGTCGGAGCAGGAGGCCCTGGACTACTTCATGAAGCAGATGAACGATGCTCACCATGGCGGCTGGACTACCAAGATGGACTGGATCTTCCACACAATCCGCCAGCATGCCATGAACTGAAATGACAGCTAAAGAGAGGACTAAAGGACTGTGGCAACAACAGGACACTAAGAACCAAAAGAAAAGTGAGAAGGGAGCGAGGTATTTTCCCAAACACACTAAGGCTTGGTTAATTCTTCTGCCAGCATGTGACTCTGAAACATTACCTGCCAGTGCACCACACAGAAGGTCCTGTTGCAGGGACATAATGCCTAAATGCTCTAAATGTCTTCTCCCTGCACTATGAACTTAAGAAGGAAGGGTGGAGTTATATTTCGTCAGTCTTCTTCATAGGAAATTAACAAGTGTAATGGACCTCAACAACGTTGGCCTTCTTCAAGTAGACACATTTTTATTTTTCATTGTTTTTTTTAAATTTCCTTTCACTAAATGTTCAACCATTAGCATTAAGAAAGGAGCATCATGAAATGGTATATAATATGAGCACCGCTTCCTTTTTCTAATGATAAACTGACAGAGTGTAACTGCATTATTTCCACTACCTATTTTCAACTGATATATAAATATATATCGGCACAAGCACGCAGCCAGGCCAGCTGAGACAAAATGAAAGGGACAATGGTAAGCCTGGCGGGTGACCACAAAATCAGTCATAAGTAAAACAAAAAACAATCACTTACATAATTAGTTCAGGACTGACAGATGAGGTGTTGTTTAACACTTAGTTAGCATTTAACTCTTTTGGAGCAACTTAAATAACGATTTAGCCTACAGTCGACTTGTCCTCAGTTTGGTACCCATGTCATGACAGAGAACTGACTTTTGTACAGCAGTATATCCATAGACTTGTATGCATTCAGTGCACATAGTCTATTTTCCACTGAGCCAAAGTACTAGATGTTTAACCCCACTACTTAGCAGTCTTATTGTAAAAAGTAGTCACTACTATTCCAAGTCTGGTGTGTACTCATAGCACTGATCTCTGCAGTATTTGTTGTTTGTTTTGTCTATCAGTATTATTCTGTCAAATGTTGAGGTGCAAATGTCCATCTACCCCCACGCATGTTGACCACAGATGGACTGGAGAAAACCTTTCTGATGGTCAGCTGTTGATGTAAGATGTTATGAATTAGTCTTTGTTATTCAACAGATAAAGGCAAGAAACGCAGGGGAGAAAGGATGTGCACTTTTGTGTGCTGTGCTGTTACACTATGCAAGTTGTGATCCTAATATGTACTGTATACTGCAAAAAAAAAAGTTGATGTCAGAGTGAGGCAGAGAGAGAAATGCATCTCCCCCGACATGCTCGCACAGAGCAGTGGACTTTTCACAGACAGTACATGGAAGAGGGAAAAAAAAATGCTGCACTGTAACAGAATCGTCTACTTCTTCCCAACAAAAAGAACTGTGAGAAACGCCTTCGGACCCTGCCTTTTGCTTCTCCTTGCCAGATTTATATTTGGAGCTACAATCTAAGCCATCTGTAAAATGTTAAGAATTTTGCTTCTGTCTTCTCGCTCTTGATCACATGTTTTACAGACAGTAGATGGACTCTGTCCTCAAATATGGTCGCCGATTGTGACATCCAGGTAAAGAAAAAGAAAAATAGTAACAGAAGTAAGTTTTTTTTTTTTGTTTGTTTGTTTGGTTTTTTTTTTGGTTTTTTTTACCTTCCAAGTGTCTTCTTCCCTCTTCTTTTCCTATGATTGTCACCCTTATGTGTGAAAGAGTAGTCTTCGCAGGTTTGTTCACTGAACAGACTCGTATGTAAGAGGTCAGTAAATATTCTAGCTTTATCAAATAATACACAACAGGGTGGTTTCCTGAACACTCAAGTCTGTCTCAAAGTCCAGTTTTTGTTTTCTGTACATGGGACTTAAAAATGCTCAGGAAACCGATCCTACTGAGATTCATGTGCTTCTGTACAGGCTACAGAGCAGCGGGCCGGACCCAAACTGAGAAAACTAGACCCCATATACTTTATAAAGAACTATCTAAATGACGCTATTTCCATTTGTACTTGTCATGATTGTTTTCTGTTTCTCACACTGCATTATGCACGAGGTCCTCGAATATCTACTTTTTTTGTTTGTTTGTTTGAGCTGATGTTGTTTACTTGAATTTCATGTATAAAAATTACCTTGTTACCTTGTCTGAGGTACAACAAAGTCACAATGAAGGTAACAGATACAGATAACTGCTACTACATGTGCAAATGCTTTCCTTAATAACTACAGAGGTAATATATTTTTGTATTTTTAAATGTAAGCAAACTCATATATGTAACTGTTAACCAAAAAGAGAAAAAAAGAAAGGAGGAATCATGCATAATGTGCACCACCCTCATTCAAAACCCAGTAGACAGCTTCTAGTTGTTGAAATGATATGAATGACAAAGCAGAGGTGAATTGTTGAATGAAGGACAAGTACTTGATGCTATTGTCAGAGGACGATTTTCACGTCTAGTGAAGATCTCTTATCCTAAGTAGAAGTCTGTAAGCACAATAAGGAGTAAGAAGCTACCCTGCATGTTTTAAAAAGAACCAGACTCCTATGTTAGTTATATATCCATCTGTATATATATATCATAAAACCTCTTCAAATACTTGTTTTAGGCATTCTCATATGACCATGTCTGATAAGAAATTGTATGCATTCATTTATTGTACTGTTGAATAAAAACAATTCTACCTATCTGAATAGATTACGGAACAGCTTTATTACATTGTTTTACACGAAATTTGTGTAATTTACAAGGCACTTTTTGATAAAAAATGACAGTGTGGGACAAGGCTTGAATCAGGAAACTTCACCTAGAAAACTACACACAAGACTCTTTACTGAGTGAACTGGACTGGTATCTAGAAACTTTTAAAAACTTTGACTTAAAGATGGTACTGCAGTAACTATATCTTATATAAGATACCCCCCTCTATAGTTATTATGACATCAGATATGCAGTCTGGAATATTATTCATAAAACACGCCAAATGAAAAGCAGTGTTTCACAAAGTTGTCTGAAGTGTGCTCTGTGCAAGCAACAGTGATGTCACAGTGTACTGACACAGTGTGGAGTACATCGCTGCAGCAAGGTGAAAAGTTAAACTGCTGGAGATCAGCAAAACAAGACTGTCAGATGGTGTTACTCTTTAAAGAAGGATATAGTAATCAATTGAAGCGAAAAGCATCTGCCAAGGCCCTTTAAAATCTTTGTTTGTTAAACCTTGCACAAGTGCAATTATTTTAGGTTTTCTGAAACAGAACATAGAGATCAATTTAAAATGAAACATTTACCTTCATTTTTTCATTTTTAGAATGTATATAACATTTATATGTTACTCCATTAGGAAGGCTCATTCACATGTCAGCGTTTTATTCTATTAATGCTGAATTATATTATGAATCTGGTGATTTCAACTTTTTCATGTTTTTGTGTATTGGGACGGACCTTAAATCTTTTTTTAAATTTTTTTTTATCAACTTTCAACTTGCCATCAATACATTTTCATTGTGGAAAGGTGTGTGTGTGCTCTGCCTCTGTGATTGTACCACAGCCATCTGCTTGTCTCTAACTGTGTTCAGAAGCCTGTAGAGTTCAGAGAGCGGAGACCAATTCTCTATGCTTAGGAAGGTTTCTGTGTGGTACTTATACTCTGACCGGCTTTCTACATACCGGCCTTGGGGCATATTATGTACCAGTTACTTGTTTGAAATAGTATTTTTGGCATGTTTTAGCACAAACACTGGATATGTCATGAAGGAGACTGCATGCTGGACCTCTGGAGGAGTCTGTACAGTTTGCCCTGAGTGTGTCTTGATGTCAGCCTGCCCCCTGCAGTCTCACTGCACATCTCAGAGGAGAGATGGGCTAAGTGCTGTGTCAGCTTCACAAGGCCCACCAACAGAGCTCCGCCACCCACCATCAGACAGGGCCACTGCAAGGCAAACAGGGCCTCCTGACAGGTGTACTTCTTGTGCAAGATGACAACCCTGGGGTGCCTCGTGCGGTCAGTGAAGCAGGATGAGGTGTTCCCCTGATGAGCGTCCAATTTGGTTTTCACTTTCTCTACTTCCTTTAGAAGTTCTGTTCTGTCCCTCTGACATTTGGGTATGTAGAAACACTGGGAAAGAAAAGATATCATTCAAGTGTAATTTTTATCAAGTGATCTGCTTGTTACAGCTGGCAGCGCTGATTGCAATCAGTGAGACGAGCTGCAAGGTTTTTCTTTGATTCTGTTTTTTTTGTCTTAAAAAAAAAATCCTTTTCTAGCCTCTGTGTGCCGCACTGGTACTAAAACATGTTTCATGCAATACCTCTGAATGGAGCAAAAGGGCGGTATGAGAGCATTTCCTAATAATGTCTTCTGGCTTATTCACGAGGGTACAGTAATCAGAGTACTGCTAGCTTTCCATCCTGTCAGCTAGTTCAGAACAGTTTTTTGCCTTCACCGCGTCCTCAAGTGCTTTCTTGGGTCCCTGCTTAGATGACTAATATGAAAACTAGGATGACTCTGGGTCCTGATAAGCAAAATTAAGCTCCGCAACACAGAGTGGCCCTACATGTTAGTTATAGTACATAGACATAAAGCTTTAATGTTCAAATCCACTCCTCAAGGGCCAATACCCTGCAGGTGTTCCTCCATTACAGTTGAAAAGCCACACCTGGTGTGAAGCAGATCCAAACCTGAGGCTCATAATACTCTGAGGTGAGACCTAAAACCTGGAAGTTACCACCATGAATCCCTACCTCAGGAGCAAGGAGGACAGATTCCTCGTCAAAGTGCAGAAAAACCATCTGATTGGAGGCTGTGAGGTTAACTGTCACCCTGAGGCATGGCACAGTGCTCACACCTCTGCAGTCCACCTCCAGGATTTCGGTATTCAGCAGAACACAGCTGGCCTTCTCCTCCCAGTTCCTGGAAAACAAGGGGAACATTTCAGGGGTACCTAAGCCAGGGTCTCCATCCCTTTTATCAGCATCACACCAGAAAGCCAATGATGGTTTCTTATTAGATATATCATGTGAGGGATGTTCTAAATGTAATCTTTGTAACATGTAATCCCAGGAAAAGAAAAAAACAATTGATGAAAAGCATGATAAAAAAAAAAAAATGAGATACTTACTATCTCAATTTTCACTTAGTTGACATAACTTACTAAGAGTATTTGCATTACTTTAAATCAGTCTGTCCACCAGACTGAAATATCTCAACTATTAACCTTTGGTCAGCCACTAGTAGGTTGACATCATGACAATCATGGTGTGGTTTGTCATGACATCTTATACACACACCCATATTCCCCTTCAGGATGAATTGAAAATTGAAAATTTTATTTTCTCCAGTAATGTTAAAAAATCACATCCAAGTCATAGGACTGTCTCTCATATGGAACCCCTTCTAGCATGATCAGACAGACTACAGTGTACCTGTCAATACAAGGTTTGACCATAGTGATGCCGACCACAAAGAACATGAGCACAGAGAAGGCCATCATAGTGAAGCCCAGCAGGATGACTCTGTCCTCCCCGACACTCGACACTGGTATCTGGGTATGAGCTCGCTGCACTCCATGATCATCCACACCTTTACACCGCTCCTGCTTCTCCCCTCTGTGGAGGAAGTCTCTATGTCTCTCAAACACACACATTCACACACACACACACACACACACGCACACACATTCTCACACACACACACACACACACACATTCACACACACACAGGGATACGCACAAACACACACCACACACACACACACACACACACACACACACACACACACACACACACACACACACACACACACAGGGATACGCACAAACACACACACACACACACACACACACACAGGGATACGCACAAACACACACACACACACACACACACACATTCACACACACACAGGGATACGCACAAACACACACCACACACACACACACGCACACACACATTCACACACACACACACACACACACACACACACACACACACACACACACACACAGGGATACGCACATGAATACATGCTTGGACACCGGGATTGGAACAATTTAAACAGATACCAATTGGATTTTCTGACTTGATGCATCAAACATGTTGATGTTTAGCTTGAATAATGTTTACTGTGTTCACCATCTTAGTTTAGCGTGTTAGCATGCTAACATTTACTAACTTGCACTTGATCTGATGGGAATATTATCTGCAGGTATTGAGTCATAAACCACAGTACTGGACAAATTCAAATTTTGACCTGACGCTAGATGTAAAGTCGGGATTGCCAAGTCTTTACAGTGGTGAACTGAACATTACAACAATGACCACAGTGAATGCAGCAGGGTACTCTCGAGTCAAAGCTCTACATTCTTTTCATTAGACCCTCTAATTAAATACCCTTGTCTTTCAAACTCCACATCCCCAGTTCATAAGACAGCAAGGTAGTTAAGAATTTCAAGTGGAGAACCGTGTTTTTTGTCAGGTATCTCCTCCAGAGCCACAAGAAGACATTAGACAAAAGCAGTGGAGTGTCATTTTAATGCAGTTTCAACAATTTGGCAATTTGGATTTTAGTCAGTTCAAACCTCTGCATCTGGCTTTTTGGCCATGTGTGTTTTTCTACAGCCCTGACAGACACATGTGGTGTGTATAATCATGTTTTTTTCTTCGTAATGACTTCCCACCAGTGTTTTCAAAGCCTTGCTGCCTGGCCCAGTCGATCGTCCTGCCTTACCGTGTCTGCTGCCTGCGAGCACCCAGCAGGTTGATGTTAATGGGCATGCTGAACGACCTCCGGGGAGCTGTGTTCAAGAACATGCCCACTCCTATCTCTATCTCAGCCACCTCCCAGCTCTAAGTGTGTATGTCCACCTAACAAGCTCCTTTCTGTCTGAAATTCAAATGTCCTTCTGTCAACAGCTGATCATTTCGTATCTCCCACAGCCTCCCGGGCAGCACAGTGACTGACTGAGTGGACTAGATTTGCAGTTTATTCACTGGGGAAGTCACCGTTGTTTACCAAGGCTCAAAGGTGAGTACAACAACACCTTCCACCCTCATGTGTGTTTCTATAGAAACCACCACAGGTAAGGCAGGTAGGATGCTAATGGCCTCTCAGTGGGCCTGTAAGGCTCAGCTGCATGCAGGGGCATAGCACAAAATTGAACACCCTGTACATATGCACTCTCTATGGTCACCTCCCCATGTACACAGCTATTCACACAAGTATTTTTTATGGGCCCTCCTCACATTAGGGTCCTGCATACTCAGTCCTCTTTGTCCCCCGAGCCCTACACCCCTGGCTGCATGCAGCGATTTGTCTTCGAAAAGCTGAGTGAGTCTCCACCTGATTATTAAGTTTTTCCACAGAATGAAACTTCACGATGACACTGCACAGGTGAGTTTTAGAGCCGGACAAAAAGTCAAAAAAGTTGCGATTGTATGCAAAATCAGCCACCTTTACACACATATACACACACATACAGACGGCATACTGACCCAAACACATGTGTCCTGTGAGATTTCATTATCCTGTATGCCTTATTGAGCTCCAAGCCGACACTGTATTATCTGAGTGCAAGATGAGTGAGTTTATATATGTTATTCAAACAATCGAAACTCTTTGTATTATTCATGGGTTGCTGGGAAAACATATGGAGGTATTAGCTTGGTGACATTTCTGTTTAATATAACAAGCCCAAGGCTAGGAACACCCTAGCAGCTTGGAAATGGAGCCAACCATTCAATAAAACAGACAGCGGTGTCATACCTAATTTATTCAGCATTGAATACAATACAAAGTGCTATTATTTTGAATATTTTCCTTAACCTTTTTTCATACATTTTGTTGTAAGGCTACAATTGCATTTCCCAGAATATGAATTCTGGGAAATGCAATTGTAGTTTATCTAATATATTTTATTACCTGTATGTTTTTGTTACTGTGTGTGATGTATTGTGTTTGTAAGCTGGCAAATGGAGTTTTTAAAAAAAAAAACGCTTATTCAGTCATTCATTTCTATAACCTACAAGAGGGCCAATAGGCCTGCCACAATTCTTCACAGGGTTGTGGGAGAATGCTTTTGATGTAACTGAAGAAAACAAGATTAAAAATGTATGGAGCTCAGTGTACTTTATCTCACCTAGTAACCCAAGACATTGCCTTGACCATGAGGCTCACAGCGTGATGCTGCACTGAGGACATAACTCAAACAGAATTTCATCTTTAACGTAAATGCCTAATGGAAACAGACTACTGCATTCGCTTAAAACCGGACTGCATTGTTTATGTTGCTGATTTGATGTTTTCTGTTGTGCATTTGAGGTCTCCCCCCAGCTGAGCCTTTTCTATAGGAGACGCCTCGCGTGATGTTGTATCTTCGTCTATCTCTGAAGTTTCGAAATTAGGGTGTACAAATTCCTCTGATTATCCAGGCCAGCAGTTGTAATTGGACTCACAATGTTTCCTGTTATCTGACTATGCCACTGAACAACATTTCTGAACAACATGCGCGGACAGAGGTCGGTACATAAAAGACAGCAAGTCATTGAGCACAATGGAAAATCACAAAAAGAGGAATCTAACTTTTTTTACCATTGGACTGATGTTTATGCTGAGCGGCATTGAGTATGGTAAGTCCATTATGACAGCTTTATGGAGTTGAAGACATGAGATAATGGTCTCATTAGAGCAGTATCTGCCTGGCATTTTGGCTGCAAGCACACATCACAAAGGCTACGGCATCTGATTTAAATTAAATATATTGTGCTGTGTGGAAGTGAGGCTCGTCATTTACAAATCTCCCTCCTTTTCCCCAACTCTCTGTTGGTCTCAGCCGTCATTCTGCCTACAATATGGCGGTATCTCCAGATTTTGGAGGCCCCACCATACTTCCTGGGTCTGGGTCTGTCTGCCTTCAGTCTGAGCGGACTGCTCACAGGCCCGCTTTTTGGGTTCTGGTCAGATCGGAGCAAAACTACAAAGTCCATCATCCTTTTCTCCAATCTTTTTGAGATTGTCGGTGAGTAATCAAACCACAAGCCAAGAAGCCACTGGCATGAGGGGCCTTTACAGAAATACTTCACTCATTCATTACACACTGCATAGAGAATTAGAGGATTATGAAGTCCCTCAGATGGCAAATTAAAAAATAGTCCTTTTATTTAGTAGCTATTGGAATTTGCCTTTTTTTCAAATTACCTCTCAGTTAGCAACTAAAATGAATTACTACTTCTTACATTGTATTGTGGGGATAATTTGAGTAGGATATACGCTGACTAGACATTCACACAACACTGCAAAATGGCAAAAACACTTGTGGGCTGAAGTTAATAAGAAGACGAATACAGGCATGCCAGCCACTACTACTACATACTGGCTAAATGTTAAAGCCAGCATGCTAACATGCTGACAGTGAAAATGCTAAAATGCTAATGTGTAACGTTAGTAGGAATGTTTACCTTGTTCATCGTCTTAGTTTAGCATGTTAGAATGCTAAAACATTTGCTAATTAGCACTAAACAAAAAGTACAACTTCCGCGACCGACCCTGGATAAGCATATGAAGATGGTTGGATGGACAAAATACAACTGAGGACTGATGGAAATCACATGTTCTGCAGGTGTTTGGTTATAAACCTAAGTACTGAACACACTGAAATGTTGAACTGATGATGACACTTGATCAAAAGTTAAGGTTGTTACAGTTTATCTGAACAAATGTCATGTCAGTCTTGACCAATGCCGCCATCCTTGCCAAAAATTATTTTCTACCCAACCTTCTCATAACCTTTGTTTCACACTAGAGATGCATTTTGGTTCCCAAGCATGATTTTCCTTTTTTATTTGTTCTCAGGTAACTTCATGTATTTTATTGGATACTCAGAGTGGCTGTTGCTATGCAGTCGGCTGGTAGCAGGTGACACTCGCGCATGTCATGAAATTATACCCAAAGCACGTTCTGTATCAGCATGTGCGTACTTTGTGAAGGTGTAACAGAAGGATGCTGTTTTCCTCTTAGGTGTCGGTGCAGGAGCAGGCTCCTCCATCTTTGGTTTCCTGACTCGGAGCACCCGGCCAGAGGAGCGCGCTGGTATCTTTGCAGCCGTTATGGCCTGTCGACAAGTTGGCCTCCTTGTCGGTCAGTTTCTTCCCCTTCATCTTGCCACTGTGAGGGGTGTCATTTCATCTCTCTCCTCCTCTGTCTTGTGAGAACTATCAGACACCGGGAAGGATTTTGTGATATCTTCTTTGGTGTTCAGTTTCAACTGTGTGAAGGAGACATTCAATAAAATCACTCAATCACCATCCTCTGTTTTCATTCCATCTCGTCTTTAAAGCTCTTCCTCTTGCCTTTCCAGGGCCGGCGTTCAACCTGTTCCTTCGGCTGTGTGATTTCAAACTGGGGCCCTTGGTTGTGAACAAATATACGTCTCCTGGGGTAACAGCATCCAGATAATCAGTAAACTAAGGTTCTCTGAAAGCCTCATGACTACAGATACAATTGTCAGAAATAGTCATTCTACATTCTGCACTCCTCCTGGCTCACATGTATTTTTTTCCTTTGTTCTCCTCTGACTAAGAAGAATACAGAACGCCTGCAGCGATACTCAGGCCCATAACCACCCGTATCGATCTATTTCCATCTCATGAGTCTCTGAATAAAACACCTGTAGAATGGATGTAGCTTAAATGAGATATAACAAAGCAACGCCTACTTCCATTTTCCCACATAATTTGACACTGCATGTCTCTCTTTATTTCACTGTGCCAGGTCACTTTATTTGTTGAACACTCTCCTTCATATATCAAATACCTTGTCTCCTGATACTTTTTAAAGTATTTTGATGTTGTAAAAAGACAGTTTTTTTGCAGTTATCTATAAAATATTTGAGGATATTTTTGTCATTTTCCTCCTTACTCTCAGATCTTCATGTGCCTGTTGTGGGTGCTGCTCCAGTTTGTCGTCCTGGCGATGTACTGGGATGTACCACCCATCAGCTCAGAGGGGGGAGCAGTGATGGTGGAGATGAAACAAGAGGAGGGTGATGAGGAGGCGGTGCCACTGATGGGGTCCGACGAGGAGCCGGTGCACACCTACAGAGCTGTCAGCTCCGACCAATTAGAGACCTCCGGCGCGTCCGAGATGGAGCCCATCCACGGTGCCTTGTCGGTCTCAAACCCCTTCAAAAACTTCAGTGCCAGCAGAGGTGAGCGAGCAGGTTTGACTGCTTGTCCTGAGCAATGATTGTCAGGCCTCCTCTTCACTGTTTGCAGAGTTCAGGTAGGAATAGGTGTCACTGCCAATGCACATGTTTCATATCTGCTCTATTGATTTTTTTGCACGCACACACGCACGCACACACGCACACACGCACACACACACACACACACTTTCCATTCTCCAGGGCTCTCTGAGGATTTCTGCGTGGCATGTCAGATCAGATTCCCTGTGTATTGATTGCACTTGTGTGTATGAGTCTGGTTTATGTCAGCGTGTGTATGTCTGTATGCATATATATGATGTCAGGTGTCTTATTGGATTAGTGTCATAGTACGTTTACATGCGATGCAAGCAGTGATTGTGTGCCATTATTGATTCACTTTTTCTGTACTTTGTTAGTCTGTGTGTGTGTGTGTGTATGTGTATGTGTGTGTGTGTGTGTGTGTGTGTGTGTGTGTGTGTGTGTGTGTGTGTGTGTGTGTGTGTGTGTGTGTGTGTGTGTGTGTGTGTGTGTATGTATGTGTGTGTGTCTGTGTGTCAAACCTCTGTATCGATTCTCTCACTCTTTGAAGATGTGGCAAAGGGATGGATGGCAGACTTCCTTTTTTATTGACTGGCTTGCTGTGGTTGACTTGTGGATGAAATGGAGACAGAATTGGTAATGTGGCCAACATTCTTCTTATTGATTCCTTTTTGTTTTGAAGAAAATCTACAACACCAAAAACTCGGGAGCAAAACTGAGCAGGATGTCTGCAGCTCTAGCACATTCTGTAGGAGTGTCTGTTAGCCGTAACAGTGTGTCGGGTATTCGCTCTCCTGAATTATTGATCTTCCCTGACTTTTTGTGTATGAGTGAGGAATCTTTGAAACTCAGGCAGATCTTTCACTTTCTTTTATCTACTCTTTTTGTTTCCGGTTGGGGTTGTGCATCACAAACAACACAAGTAAAACCTGTGTGAATTTCTGCTTATGGAACAAGGAACATTTTTTGCATTGATAAGCAGTATATAAACAATTAAAAATGGTTATGCTGAGATTTAGCTGAGAAGATGGCTACCACTCTGTGGTTTTCCATAAAGACTATTTTTATAGCTAGCCATGGCTCAATGTAGATTTTCAAAAATATGCTGTCCAACATGTGCCTTTACATGTTATGTCTCATTTGTGTAATCTGTAGACTCAAGGAAGTCACAATGCCGACCACAAAATTGTTCTAGACTAGCACACAACTCGCCCTAAAGCCACAAATTGTCGTTTTTTCCTTTCTTCAGTGTACAGCCTAAACAAACGAGATATG